AAGCAGAGGTAACGCACTGGTATATATATATATATCATTTACGTGTCGATTCGTATATTCTCCCCACCAAGTTCCATCCAAATTTGTGAAAAACTCTTTCTCTTCCATTCAAAAACCTTAGCGTAACACTCAAATGCAACGTTGAAATTCGGCAGAAACGGTTGCCTTCGCTGCTCACATGACAGTCATTATAAGCAAAGTAGAAACACCACATTTAAAAAGACAAAAGCTACAAGAAAAGTTGCAAAACTTATGCGGCAAGCTACTGAGTACCAACTGATTGCTCTTTTGACGAACTTCCTGCGATGTAGGCCGATTCGCGCTAACATTGTTGTACCCTGAAATCCCATAGATAAGAACGGTTCAATTTACCGGTGAAAAATGAATTGGAATAAATTGAAATTGAATACAGTCACCCCTCTAACTTGATGGATGGATAAATAAAAATCGTAAAAGAAGTTCAGAAGAAGCTCCGCTTCTCAACTCTAAACCCCGCCCACTTAATAAACAAATCATATAGAAATTCCAAATTTTCATTAAAGTCGCTATTTCTAAATGAATTGTTTATTAAGTGGGCGGGGTTTAGAGTTGAGGGGCGGAGCTTCTTCTAAACTTCTTCTCCGATTTTTGTTTATCCATCCATCAAGTTAGAGGGGTGACTGCATTCAATTTCAATTCATTCCAATTCATTTTTCACCGGTAAATCAGACCGCTCTTATCTATGGGATTTTAGGGTACACATACCCATAAACCGCTTTAGGCGAGCGGCTCTGCTAGCTTTTACCTAAGCAGAAAGAAGCAAAATTTTCCGTTAGGCACGCCTACACTCAATCCACTTGACCCCAACCACTTCATTAATGGTCAAATTAGTGAACGAACCACAGAGAAGCGGATGCCCACTTGACCCATTTGGTCCGCCATCATTATTGTTAAATTCACAGATTAACCCAATTGTGAATGAATTGGGTTGAAGACACCGCCCACCCTAGATCAGGAAACCTGAGCTTTTATCAATTCGATAGTAGTAGCCCTACCAAACCCATGCCCAAGTCGCCGGGCAAAATGTCGCTTCGGAAGCGAAAAACGGCTTCGCGGCAGCAAAGAGGCACAAGGGACCCCAAATCGGCAACGCCTCTCTCCAGCACTGCCCAACCATCCGTGCACACATCCAATCACCGTTTAGTAGAACGGGCCAGCGGGTTCTCCGGGACGGGGTCGTCGGGGTTTCTGCGGTCTTGATTTCATATTCGGAATCAGAAATCCCAAAACCACCAAACTATATGTCGAGAATCGGAGTGGACTAACCTTGAGTTGGCGCTTGCCTTAGACACTTAACGCAAGACAAGTTGATACTGCCTTGCAAAGCGGCCATCTCCCGGATTTCTTGCCAAGTTGCTCACAACTTCCCCCCCCTCTCCGCAATTTGACATTCTTCTCCATGAAACAACCATCTGGCATTTCCCAAGCGAGAACATCCCTAATGTTTGCTTACAAAGTATTGATTAACACATTCACGACTACACGACCCACCGGTGGGTCGTACGTGTTTTGCCGTTTCGAAAAATACGACCCACCGGTGGGTCGTAAGACTCCTGAAGCTCTAGCATTACCAGTACACGATGGAATTCTATGAGGTTCTGGCACATGATTGGGGACACCTTGGCGAAGCTCCAGCCAGAGTGGTCCGGGTTCGGGATACTGTAAAGTACTGTTACGGTAAGTACACCGTAAATAAAGATAAGACACAGATTTAGCTTGAATTTTCCGCAATGTGGCGCTGTTTTTGAAAATTAAGTTTACATGCAAGAGGAATACGGGTGCATGTCAAGAGGTGCGATTCCTATTGCCCGATGGGCAGCATATAGCATATATTTAGTGTTTTACAAAGTTCCAAAATCACTTGAAGTCTCAAACAAAGTACTTTTGATAATTGCACGGGTTGCTCCCTTGTCATCTTGTAAACGATTTCAAACAAGATTGTTGAAGGTCAAAAACCCATGAAATGCCGTTAACAGCAATTTTTTAAAATTTTCGTCAGTTTTCTAACAAAAGTCGTCAAAATTATCAAGTGGTTAGTTCAAACAGCTAGTAAGCCAATGAACTTTGTCCGGCACTTTTTGAACTCTCCCATAGCATGAAACTGGAGTTTTGATTTGGTGAGACTCGGAAAAATCGCGCCTCTTGACCGTCTACCGAGAAATACGAGGAGGGCACGAGAGTGATGTTACAATTTGTTACGATTTTTTTTGTTACGATTTCATTGATTTTATTGATTTTCGCACTGTTCAGCCCAGGAAGCTCAAACGTTACATATATAGGCTTTTAGCATGCTGATTACGAAATGATAGTCTCAAGTTCTAATAACCGCCTTCTTACACTGGTTTCTTGATTCTTACGAAAATTCTACCGTACCGCTACCGTAGTCCCACTGTGGGAAAGTAGTAGCAAAGTGGACACTATAATCGTGATCAGCACGTAAAATAACCCCAAAACACATTTCTACAAAAATCCATGATGTTAGGTTCGTACAAAATGACTACCGTAAACTTAACGTATACTGCCAAAAACTGAAATAAATCATATTCTGGTAATCAGCGCCTCCGATAACCCTTGTGGGAAAATTCTCGGAGACATGTTTTGAATTTCTCCCAAAAAGACTACCATTTCGGACAATACGACTCACAGGTGGATCGTAAATTCGACAAAGCGAAAAAGGCTCTGGTCCGAAAGGGCAGTAATCGAAAAATCGGCCTTGTCGTGAATGTGTTAAAGATAAAAGAGGAAGCAAAACAAAAATAAAGGAGACATACGTGTAAATTACAACTACAAGCAAAGATGGGTTTGCCGGATCTATGCATTATCCACCTCTCCTCAAAAAATGTTAGTATCTTATCGTAACAGAAGATGACGCACCCGAACACTGCTAGAGTGAAGGCGTGTCCTGGCAAGAAGTCGATTAAGTTTTGCCTGCCCCCCCCCCCAAGAATCTCAGATATTCAGATTTGCCTCGATACTATTTTAGGACGTTGAATATCTAGCACTACATTTAAGAAAGATAAGAATGATTAGTTTATTTCTATACAGTGTACATGTTCATGAAGTGAGAGCTAACAAGCAAGATATTGCTTACATAGAACATGCAAGATAGTGGTAAAACTTGAGATCGTGAGCATCCCGCGCCAAATAATCTCTTTCGATCAAACTCTAAATCAAACTCTATTCTCTTCTTGATCAAAATTGGATTCGGTAAGAACCGATCTTTAGCTGCTGCGTCACCTATAGCAATATTCCATACTGAATCTACCGACAGAAAAAATTGTTTACCTCCATGATGAGGTTGTTGTGATCGAGCACTTTCCTCGACTTCATGACACGAACCATAGCAGCCTCAACTTCAGATTTTCTGTCATCCTCTACCTGGAAAAGTGTCAACTCGCTTTTTAGTGATTGAAAAAAACTCGATCATATGCTAAAACAAGGAGATTACCTTAATCTGGTCTCCTTTTCTGGTTCCGACTCGCCTTTAGATGTCACCAATTGAATCTTGATACGGATCAACTTAAATTGGAAATTGTCGTTAACCGAGAACTCAACTGTGGCATCTAAACAAAATAATTTCAATTCTCTCTTCACTTTCAATCCTATGTTATGCCTTGCAAATCATATAAAACCTGTTCAAATAGCAAACATTATGTCTTGTGTTCTCTGCTTCTACAAATTTAAAAATTCTCGAAGAAAAATAGTAAAAATTGGCGACAAACAATTACAAAAGGAAGCAAAGCAACTATGAAACCTGTTTGAACTCACCTATGCCCTGCCCTTCTCCTTCCCTTTTCTACACAGGACACGCTGATTAGGTTTGCCCATTGCCAATAAATGCAGATTTCGCTTCAACTCCCTTTCGGCTATGCTTGTTTGCTCCTACACAATCTAAGATGAAGTCAGAGCTACAGCTTATTAGCATCAGATATACCGAATGTGCTTGGGATGTGAGTCGAGGCTGGTTGTTGAAGCACATGAGGATGACCATCTGATGAGTGATTGACCACAAGAATTTTGTTCTTTTCTTTTCAAACTTCTCGAGCATCCGAGGTGCCAGGCTATAAACAATAAAAACAAGATGAGCGAAAAACCCAGTAACAGTTTTGGAAAGTGTATAAACTCAACCATAAAGGAAAGGAAAGATGGGCATCTACCAAAACTCACGGCTGCAATATTATTTTCATAAAAAAATGCTATCACTTCTGCGGTTCCCAGCATAGTATTCAACGTCAGTTTGCGGCCGCGATGCTTATTTACATAGAAGTTGCTGAACATCTGCAAAAAAAAAAACAAATGCGTTCAAACAAGATCAGGACGAGATGGCAATATTTCCAGAAAACTCAGAGTGAACGCATGCTCACAAACTAAAGGTAAAATGCACACCGGAACGCTTTGCGTAGGCCAAATTTCCAGCTGTCAGCACGCGCATCGAGATGTCGACCATATTTTCGCCACGAAAAAACTGTAAGAAATCAGCTGTTCTGTTCACGATAAAATGTAAACAGTCACAGCTTTAAAAACGTGTGCCAACTATATATGCTATAATTGAAAGTTCATTCAAACAGATCGAAAACGAAAGGTTTATTCCTCAAAAAAAACATACGTTTTCGCTATAATCTTTGCAGGCTGTTGCTTGAGTAGTCCATAACTCTTTATCGCGGAACATATTCCCCAACTTGAGGCTGAAATGACGCCGCATTCTGTCTGAAACATTAATGATGCCATTTCTGAGAATGTTGGTGGATGTCAATAATTCATCATGAACCGGATGAGCTACGACAATTTCCCATTTCCCGAAGTAAAAAATAATCTGTTCTGATATTAAAAAAGAAAATCGAGAGATTTTGCTTTCGGATTATACGCAACTCTTTGCCAGCACTTTATATACTATATGACGATATTGATTGATACAAGAATAAAGGTTTTTTGGAGCGGAGAACCCACATTGAGCTTGCTAATCATCTCCTTTCCATGTCATCTGAGATACTCTTGGCTAGCAGCAGACGTATTGCCATGTGTTTTTTGTAGCATCTAGAGTAGGTTTAGTACATAGATAAAGGGAAGAAGTCAAGATTGATCACCAACTTTTCAAAGACATCTTTCTCTTGAAAAATACGGAACACCATGGCCTTGTCAAGCAGTTTCTCGGCATTTACGTCATTCTCCTGCAATAGCAATATTTTATCGAATGAACTTAGCGTCATATTAGACGAAGACGCTCAAATGCTTGCTTTTCCTTCCCTTGCTTTCCACGTTTTTGTCTCTGTTGTTACGTAGATGAGAATACAGTTCTAAGAGAATGCATTGATTGCCTAACTTGGAATCTTAATAATCAGAATCCTCGTATATCTAAAAACAGAGACAACCTACTTATTCCGAGTTAGTAATAAACTCATGTCAGGTTAAGCACCAAAACAGTTCTAGAAGCTAAATGCAGATCTGAACACCAAAACCACCATACCAAAACACCATACCAAAACCTTTTGCCAAAAAAGGAAACACATAAGACTTTCACAAATGAAGTATTTCGCGCAGACGATGCGTCTGACGATGGAGCTTAAGTAAACCCCTGTTTAACCAAGGCAAGTTCCTAAACTCAAAGCCAAGAAGAGTGAATAGCCACATCAGTGTTTCGCTGAGTGAAAGGAACCAAAAAAGAAGTTACAAGCTGATCAGATCTCCAAAGGGACAAGCATAACGTGCAATTTATAAGCTTACCGATTTTAATCCTTCACGAAGTTTTTCATCCATGTAGAGTGACAAGTATTCTGGGCTGTTCTTGTTCAAGTTGATGAATGACTCGAACTCTATATGGATCCTATTTTTTAACATCTTATCCCGTTGAAACGACATTCTGAGGAACTCGTCGAATCTTTCCTTTAGGTCCAGTAAGTCCTGAAAGTAAGTCTAGTAAGTCTTCAGAACGGTACGACAGCGCAATTAAAGTCGGCTAGGCATTTGTGACCGATAAATTCAACAAAGAGAACGAAAGCCGGCGCGATGTGAGAAGAGAGGGAGAGAGAGAGAAAGAAAGAAAGAAAAAAAGAATGAATGATACATAGACAGGAGCGGGAAAGCGAGCGGTGGCAGCCGTGAAAAACAGGGCGCGCGCGCCGGGACCACCGCTCGCTTTCCCGCTCCTGCCGCATTTTTGAAATGAGTTGATTTTATATATATATATATACTAGCGACCCTACGGGTCGCTAGCAAGCGGGTGGGGCACACCCATTAATAAACGTCTTTCATACCTATAATTTTCTCAGTGTCACTCTCGCACTCAAGCTTACGATCTGGAGAGAAAAATCGAATTCACCCAGAGCAAAAGCTCCCAAAAGCGAGATTTTCGAAGATTTTCTCAAAATTTGGCGGAAAAGTGGATCAAATTGTGCTAAAATTTTGTTTTGCCCCAGTTATCGCTGTACAGCTTCCTTTCGCGATGTCACTCTAGCACTCACGCTTACAATCTGGAGAGAAAAATCGGATTCACCCAGAGCAAAAGCTCCCAAAAGCGAAATTTTCGAGGATTTTCTCAAAATTTGGCGGAAAAGTGGATCAAATCGTGCTAAATTTTGTCTTGCCCCAGTCATCGCTGTACAGCTTCCTTTCGCAATGTCAGTCTCGCACTCACGCTTACAATCTGGAGAGAAAAATCGGATTCACCCAGAGCAAAAGCTCCCAAAAGCGAAATTTTCGAAAATTTTCTCAAAATTTGGCGGAAAAGTGGATCAAATCGTGCTAAATTTTGTCTTGCCCCAGTCATCGCTGTACAGCTTCCTTTCGCAATGTCAGTCTCGCACTCACGCTTACAATCTGGAGAGAAAAATCGGATTCACCCAGAGCAAAAGCTCCCAAAAGCGAAATTTTCGAAAATTTTCTCAAAATTTGGCGGAAAAGTGGATCAAATCGTGCTAAAATTTTGTCTTGCCCCAGTCGTCGCTGTAGCTGTACAGCTTCCTTTCGCAATGTCACTCTCGCATTCACACTTACAATCTGGAGAGAAAAATCGGATTCACCCAGAGCAAAAGCTCCCAAAAGCGAGATTTTCGAAGATTTTCTCAAAATTTGGCAGAAAAGTGGATCAAATCGTGCTAAAATTTTGTCTTGCCCCAGTCGTCGCTGTACAGCTTCCTTTCGCAATGTCACTCTCGCATTCACACTTACAATCTGGAGAGAAAAATCGGATTCACCCAGAGCAAAAGCTCCCAAAAGCGAGATTTTCGAAGATTTTCTCAAAATTTGGCGGAAAAGTGGATCAAATCGTGCTGAATTTTGTCTTGCCCCAGTCGTCGCTGTACAGCTTCCTTTCGCAATGTCACTCTCGCATTCACACTTACAATCTGGAGAGAAAAATCGGATTCACCAAGAGCAAAAGCTCCCAAAAGCGAGATTTTCGAAGATTTTCTCAAAAATTTGGCGGAAAAGTGGATCAAATCGTGCTAAAATTTTGTTTTGCCCCAGTCATCGCTGTACAGCTTCCTTTCGCAATGTCACTCTCGCATTCACACTTACAATCTGGAGAGAAAAATCGAATTCACCCAGAGCAAAAGCTCCCAAAAGCGAGATTTTCGAAGATTTTCTCAAAATTTGGCAGAAAAGTGGATCAAATCGTGCTAAAATTTTGTCTTGCCCCAGTCGTCGCTGTACAGCTTCCTTTCGCGATGTCACTCTAGCACTCACGCTTACAATCTGGAGAGAAAAATCGGATTCACCCAGAGCAAAAGCTCCCAAAAGCGAAATTTTCGAGGATTTTCTCAAAATTTGGCGGAAAAGTGGATCAAATCGTGCTAAATTTTGTCTTGCCCCAGTCATCGCTGTACAGCTTCCTTTCGCAATGTCAGTCTCGCACTCACGCTTACAATCTGGAGAGAAAAATCGGATTCACCCAGAGCAAAAGCTCCCAAAAGCGAAATTTTCGAAAATTTTCTCAAAATTTGGCGGAAAAGTGGATCAAATCGTGCTAAAATTTTGTCTTGCCCCAGTCGTCGCTGTACAGCTTCCTTTCTCAATGTCACTTTCGCATTCACACTTACAATCTGGAGAGAAAAATCGGATTCACCAAGAGCAAAAGCTCCCAAAAGCGAGATTTTCGAAGATTTTCTCAAAATTTGGCGGAAAAGTGGATCAAATCGTGCTGAATTTTGTCTTGCCCCAGTCGTCGCTGTACAGCTTCCTTTCGCAATGTCAGTCTCGCATTCACACTTACAATCTGGAGAGAAAAATCGGGTTCACCCAGAGCAAAAGCTCCCAAAAGCGAGATTTTCGAAGATTTTCTCAAAATTTGGCGGAAAAGCGGATCAAATCGTGCTGAATTTTGTCTTGCCCCAGTCGTCACTGTACACCTTCCTTTCGCAATGTCAGTCTCGCACTCACGCTTACAATCTGGAAAGAAAAATCGGATTCACCAAGAGCAAAAGCTCCCAAAAGCGAGATTTTCGAAGATTTTCTCAAAAATTTGGCGGAAAAGTGGATCAAATCGTGCTAAAATTTTGTTTTGCCCCAGTCATCGCTGTACAGCTTCCTTTCGCAATGTCACTCTCGCATTCACACTTACAATCTGGAAAGAAAAATCGGATTCACCCAGAGCAAAAGCTCCCAAAAGCGAGATTTTCGAAAATTTTCTCAAAATTTGGCAGAAAAGTGGATCAAATCGTGCTAAAATTTTGTCTTGCCCCAGTCGTCGCTGTACAGCTTCCTTTCGCAATGTCACTCTCGCATTCACACTTACAATCTGGAGAGAAAAATCGGATTCACCCAGAGCAAAAGCTCCAAAAGCGAGATTTTCGAAGATTTTCTCAAAATTTGGCGGAAAAGTGGATCAAATCGTGCTGAATTTTGTCTTGCCCCAGTCGTCGCTGTACAGCTTCCTTTCGCAATGTCACTCTCGCATTCACACTTACAATCTGGAGAGAAAAATCGGATTCACCCAGAGCAAAAGCTCCCAAAAGCGAGATTTTCGAAGATTTTCTCAAAATTTGGCGGAAAAGTGGATCAAATCGTGCTGAATTTTGTCTTGCCCCAGTCGTCACTGTACAGCTTCCTTTCGCAATGTCAGTCTCGCACTCACGCTTACAATCTGGAAAGAAAAATCGGATTCACCAAGAGCAAAAGCTCCCAAAAGCGAGATTTTCGAAGATTTTCTCAAAAATTTGGCGGAAAAGTGGATCAAATCGTGCTAAAATTTTGTTTTGCCCCAGTCATCGCTGTACAGCTTCCTTTCGCAATGTCACTCTCGCATTCACACTTACAATCTGGAAAGAAAAATCGGATTCACCCAGAGCAAAAGCTCCCAAAAGCGAGATTTTCGAAGATTTTCTCAAAATTTGGCGGAAAAGTGGATCAAATCGTGCTGAATTTTGTCTTGCCCCAGTCGTCACTGTACAGCTTCCTTTCGCAATGTCAGTCTCGCACTCACGCTTACAATCTGGAAAGAAAAATCGGATTCACCAAGAGCAAAAGCTCCCAAAAGCGAGATTTTCGAAGATTTTCCTCAAAAATTTGGCGGAAAAGTGGATCAAATCGTGCTAAAATTTTGTTTTGCCCCAGTCATCGCTGTACAGCTTCCTTTCGCAATGTCACTCTCGCATTCACACTTACAATCTGGAGAGAAAAATCGGATTCACCCAGAGCAAAAGCTCCAAAAGCGAGATTTTCGAAGATTTTCTCAAATTTGGCGGAAAAGTGGATCAAATCGTGCTGAATTTTGTCTTGCCCCAGTCGTCGCTGTACAGCTTCCTTTCGCATGTCACTCTCCGCATTCACACTTACAATCTGGAGAGAAAAATCGGATTCACCCAGAGCAAAAGCTCCCAAAAGCGAGATTTTCGAAGATTTTCTCAAAATTTGGCGGAAAAGTGGATCAAATCGTGCTGAATTTTGTCTTGCCCCAGTCGTCACTGTACAGCTTCCTTTCGCAATGTCAGTCCTCGCACTCACGCTTACAATCTGGAAAGAAAAATCGGATTCACCAAGAGCAAAAGCTCCCAAAAGCGAGATTTTCGAAGATTTTCTCAAAAAATTTGGCGGAAAAGTGGATCAAATCGTGCTAAAAATTTTGTTTTGCCCCAGTCATCGCTGTACAGCTTCCTTTCGCAATGTCACTCTCGCATTCACACTTACAATCTGGAAAGAAAAATCGGATTCACCCAGAGCAAAAGCTCCCAAAAGCGAGATTTTCGAAGATTTTCCTCAAAATTTGGCAGAAAAGTGGATCAAATCGTGCTAAAATTTGTCTTGCCCCAGTCGTCGCTGTACAGCTTCCTTTCGCAATGTCACTCTCGCATTCACACTTACAATCTGGAGAGAAAAATCGGATTCACCCAGAGCAAAAGCTCCCAAAAGCGAGATTTTCGAAGATTTTCTCAAAATTTGGCGGAAAAGTGGATCAAATCGTGCTGAATTTTGTCTTGCCCCAGTCGTCACTGTACAGCTTCCTTTCGCAATGTCAGTCTCGCACTCACGCTTACAATCTGGAAAGAAAAATCGGATTCACCAAGAGCAAAAGCTCCAAAAGCGAGATTTTCGAAGATTTTCTCAAAAATTTGGCGGAAAAGTGGATCAAATCGTGCTAAAATTTTGTTTTGCCCCAGTCATCGCTGTACAGCTTCCTTTCGCAATGTCACTCTCGCATTCACACTTACAATCTGGAAAGAAAAATCGGATTCACCCAGAGCAAAAGCTCCCAAAAGCGAGATTTTCGAAGATTTTCTCAAATTTGGCAGAAAAGTGGATCAAATCGTGCTAAAATTTTGTCTTGCCCCAGTCGTCGCTGTACAGCTTCCTTTCGCAATGTCACTCTCGCATTCACACTTACAATCTGGAGAGAAAAATCGGATTCACCCAGAGCAAAAGCTCCC